CATCATATCATATCACGTGAGAACAATTTTTTACCTGTTCACCATACAGTCCAGCTGAGTCATCGGAACTTCTGATCTTATGAAAATCATATTTGTTAAGTTGTCGGACAAAACTAGCAAAATTTGAATGCTTGAAATGACGGGGAAGAATTGTTTTTGTGAACGCGTCGATTTCCTGTATTTGAAATTATGTTAAATAATGCTATATTATACAACAAAAAACTACATAAAATCTGGTCGACAAACACCTTTACAACAAAACTGTCACCATTGGCACCCCAAGAAACTACATCGCTGTAAGAAGAATCTTCTAACATCCTAAGTAAATGAACAAAGTTTCTTTTTAATATAATTCTCTATATTTACAATTAACTCTTCACGTTTCTTAGTTTTGTTTAAGGCATATACGTGGTTTTAAGAACTCACTTAAATAACTTTCTAACGAAATCTGGACCTCCTGAAATATTGCTCATGGTTCTTTAACGCAGAAATAAATTTACAAGGCAGTTTATAGAATTATTAAAGGTATTTATTTGAATTTTTGTTAGACAGAGATGTCTCATAGTTTCCCACAAAAAAAAAAATTGAATAAATCGACCGTTTCTATGTAAAATATTTTTTTTATCAAATTTATTATTGGTCATTAGCTAAATTTAGTCAGATTACCATGATTTCCATTGAGCTTTTTTACATCTCCTACCTTTACTGAATCGATCGTGTAAACTAATTTAAAAGTTGTACCAATACAAATATAAGATCGGCATAAGTAAACTCTCACAGAGTACAATAATTACATGATCAGTTAATAATCGCATCCAAAATTTTTTATGTATATATCGTTATATCATATTTAGTTAGATAAAACCGAATAAGGGATATATAACGGGTTTTAAAATTAATATATATAATAAATTAATTAAAAAAATCCATATATCATATCAGATATGAATTAGTACGTAGACTCAAAATCCAAACTTTATATATATAACTTTGGAATCAAAGAATATTATTTTTGAAATAAAAGATTCCAGAAAGCCAATTAATTTTGTAATAAATAATATCGCGATTTTAATACTCTTTAATGGTGTCAAATTACGAGAATTATTTTATCAAGTAAAAAATAATATATATACTGTTATACTTAAATTATTATACGTATACGTACAGTAATTTCAAATTATGTACTGTACGTATAATAATTATCTTACATTTTATTTATTTTATAAAGCAAAAACCGATAATATTTTTTTATTTTTATTCGAGTCATATTTTTAGGAAGACCCAACTATTAAGTGATTATGTTGATTATGTGATTTATTAAAATATTACATAATACACTTTCTAATAATCTAAAACCCATTTATTTGTAATACAAACCTTGTATCTGCTTTTCGGGTATCAGGTATCTGATACGTATTGATTTTTTTTAATAAAAAAAAAAAATTTACAGTAATTTAGAATACGTAATAAATTGAATAAAAAAACGATCTGGAATTATATATTTTTATTTGAATAAAATTGATTTTGGAATTACGTATTTAATTTTTTTTTTAATTAATTAATAATTAAATTAAAAAAAAAATAATATTTATTAATTTTCAATAATCGTATTACTATTAACAAATATAAATATAATAAATTATGTTACGTAGCAGTTAGGGTCTACACCTAATGTTTGAATTGGACCGGGCTTGTCTAGACCCGAAACCAAGTACAAAAAAAAAAATTTTGAACCCGATTAAAGTCAAGCCTGGTAAAAAAACCCAGTAAGTGAGCCAGGTCGGTGCTTTATATTAAATTAGGACCAGACCCTACCTTGATCAAATCGCCACCCAAAATTTTTTCATAAAAATTTTGCGCTATTAGATTAGTTAGTATTTTGCAATTAGGTTAGGGTTAGAAAGTATCACTTATACTAAAATATAGAGGTATGATCCGGTCAAAAATGAAAATTCGGATATTAATTCGTTCAATTGTTTTAATATCGGGATATATTCATTGAATATTCATTGAATATCATATAAAGACTTTAATGTTTCTTGTTTTTTTTTTCATTCATTTAATTTTTTTAATAAATCATTTCATCGCATTAATTTAGTTGGTGAGTATATGATGATGCCTAATTCAATGGTTAAAAAAAAATACTTTCACAAATGTATTTTGTGCAACTTTTTACTTGCACATTATATAAAAATCAAAAAAAAACTCTTGCATATGTGCATCTTATGCATGCTAATTTTAAATCCTGGCATAATTCTCTTCAAATTGTTTCATTCAGTCGGTGAGTATAAAGATGATTTATTATATGATTTAATTAAAATCAATAAATTATAAAACATAAATATTTACTTTCTACAATCTAATTCCCTTTAATATTTTCATTTATCCGGACTTATTTATCATTGAATATTCATTGAATTTAATCAGTAAAAAATAACTTATTCAATATTCAATTTAGTGAAACAGTTGTGCATTCGGATATTCAGATACCCGGATATATTATTCACCGGATCAGACCTCTACTAAAATCTTGCAAAGAAAATTTTTTATTGGTGTGCAGAAGGTAGTTTCATAGAGTTATATCATTTATGATTTTTTGCGTTTCTTTTGATCTTGAAATTTGATTTATCGTTATATCGATATTGATCCGAATATATCAATAGTTCTGGCCCCCCCGCTTAGCGAACCCATATCCATACGAAGTTTAGAATCAAATACACATGAACTTTTTGTTCCTAATTCGGATATCAATGAAATAACCTTTTTTAAAGTTTTTAAAATTGATACGTACGTAGCGATAAATATATAGCTTGATTTAGAAATTAAAATGCATGATTAAGCTGAATTATTTTTTTAATATTTATGAAACCGTCTAGGAAATTTCACCACGTCCTTTAAAAATGATGCACGAGAATTCCTAAGCGAAAAGGAGTGATGATATCTCATAAAATACCTTTTTTTTTTCTCGAAATATTAACGTATCCGATTTATCTGAAATTTAAAATGCTACAACATCGAATCTTTATATTATTTTATTAATAATATTTCAAATAATTTTAAAATTTCAATAGCTAATAAAACAATTAAGATCTTATTGAGGTGCATTAACGACAAAAGTTAAAGACTTGATATTGATGTTTTCAATTTTCGATAAGAGGTTGCTAGATATTATAAAAACTAATGCAATCCCTGTTGAAGAAATTGAAGGAGAATCATCGGTTGAGCAAGGAAGAATATTTGAACTGTTTTGTGTAAGGGGGGAGGGAGTTTTTAAATTAGGGAGCGAAAATTATTTGGACAGGGTAAGTTTTTTTTTTCTTTTTTTACTTACAAGTTTTGTTGAGTTGTTGCTACTAGGTCAATTAAGATTTCCAAGAATTGAAAGCACTTCGTGGCGGTTGTTTTGGCAACATAACGTTCTTCTTGGTTATTGATTTCAGTAGGATGATTTTCCCTACGTTAACTAGTGAATAAAAACGTATGCAATTATGAAACAAACTTGTCATATATTTAGATGTTCGGGGACGAGGATATCGATATTATTATGGAGATTTGTGATTTGCTGGTGGTAAATCATATTTTAAGAGGGAAATAAGAACGTTGATGGAGTTAGGGGTATCAGGAAATAGAATTAAACCTAATGTATATAGAGCAACCGTTTTGTCAGATGAAATAATTATCGTTATTACTTACAATAAAATGTCCGAAGAAATAGAAGAAACAATCCTATATTTATTAAAACAAAAAGAAGGGTTATTATTAGACAAACAATATTTTAATTAAATGATT